GTGCGTGTATTATAAATAAAAACAAAACGCAATGCGAAAAAAGCAGAATTATAAGTAATTCCATAAAAAATGTATTAAAAAACCTGAAAATATTATGTGCGCATTATACATTTCATATGCATGTTTATGTTTATGTTTATGTTTATAAGTTGCTATAGATTCCAATGCCTAAGTAAATAGGTATGGTGAGTTTGTGTGTGTGAGGTATTTGTGTATGCGTTAAATCTGTCATGGTTCATGCTGAGTTTGCTCTTCAGTCGTGTGTCATGTGTCTCGTCTTGTATCGTTCAATATTTCATCCCATAACATTACATTTCACAGCTTCCTACTGCGTTAATTCAAAATCGTGCTCGCTTGTGTCGTGAAAGTATGCATGTATGTGTGTGTGTGTGTTTTATGAAGTGTTTGTGTTTGTTTGCCAGAACATTCACCACTGCAGGTCAACTATTTCAGCACACGTTTGCACTGCTCGTGCTGCTTATATAATCGTGGCCTGTTCAGTCGGAACAGGTAAATTTCAACCTATCAACGTATCAACGTATCCACATATCAACGTACCAACGTATCCACATATCAACAATTTTGACAATTTCTTATTTGTAAAGTTTAGAGTACTTTTCGGTGTCAGTTTTCTACATTTTTTTCAATTTGTGTCCTTTGGCTTTGATTGGGCGTCAGAGAATTCTGGGAGTCAGAGTAAATCAAATAGATTTCATATCATGCGTATCCAACTGACAATTTGCATTAAACTCAAATTGGTGTAAAATTATTAATGAGATTTATATTGGAAAGCTTACATTTAAAGTATTATACATTAAACGTAAAGATATCTGACATATTTCACGAGCAATTACTTTTTATCAAATCTAAAATGTTTTTCTATTAAAACAACCTAGATACAGCGTTTTAGCTTCTTTTTTTTTTTGGTATCGGACCTGGAGGAAAAATTTTCTAAAGATACAAATGCCACGTATCATTTGCATGTCCGATTCATGCACGTCTCAATTGAGTCATACATACCTATGAAGTAAAAACTCACCACATTCTCAGCTCAAAATCCTGGAAAACTCTGCAGTACGATCAGTTAAGGTATTTCTTCATGAGGCAGGTTAGAAGAGCACTTAGCATGCTTTCACGCGTTTTAGTTTGGTGCTCTACGTTCCTAGATCTGGGGCTCGGATTTCATATGTCTAGTAAGGAAGACTTGACCCCAGATAAAGTGGCTTCTTTTAAAACAGCAGACATTTACATAGATGGATTCAAAATAGAAGACACAGTTGCCATGTTTTCCCATAAACTGAGTTATATAGCTTCGAATACCGAAGCATTGCAGTGTCTTTCAGATAGAAGTAATGAAGATTTACTATGTAGCCAATTAGATGATAGGCAACAAGATCCAGAATGTAAATATTGCAAACTTCTCGGATAGCTAAGCTGAATATTAGATAGTTAGGCGTGTTAGTGCCCAGCTTGTATGACTGCCTGGACATAAAAACATCTCGAGCAACTGCAGGACAGACAAGCTTGCCAAGGCACTCTACTCTCTGGCATTTATTTCTTAGATATTGGTATTCCACTTGCAACTACATAGCTGATAATCAAGCAAAAATAACTGCGCACTGCTAAACATACTTGGGCAGATGAATCGTCGCGTCAGATCTCAAGATCGATCTTGGGGCACATTTTCTTACCGACTTAACAGAGATCATTATGCATTTTGCAAATTAAGAGACTTGGCTAAGTTTACAAATTTTTCAGATTGCTAAAATCTTTTTTGGATTACACGCATATATCTATAAACTCTACTTAATTAGTTTTTGCAAATGCTTTTACAAAACATTATTAACGCTTTTACCTATGATTTTTACTAAATCGGTAATTTAGCACGTTTTCATTCTTTTATCGTTGAGTCATGGATTTTGTCCAACATGTCCAGTGCTGTTACGCCGTTTGGGTGTTTAGGTTTCTCACCAACTTTGGTGTTCATTAGATTAGAACAAAATTCGGTAAAATACATGCCTGTATCGATGCAGAGTATCTATATAGTTATGCAAACATTTGTTGAATTTTTTCTGTGCTGAGCATTTTTTGTAAAAGTTGGTGTCATTGTTTTAAGAAAAAATTCAGTATTCTCATTGATATACCCCGTAAAGATATAAGTTTTGAGGAGGGTTGGTTGTACGAGATTCAGCGCCGATTAGGAAACTATGGTGAAACGTTCAATTTGCCTTTTAAACAATCGTGTCCTATCTTCAATTTGTTCAGTATATATATATGTATATATATATAAATAAGTTTAAAGGCTACTTCTTTAGAGTAGTAGTTGGATGTTGATTTGGTCGTTTGGAGCTAAAATCTCTAGTTAAAATATTTATGGATCGGGACGTCAAGTTAAGGAAGCATGCCGTCCTAGCTGGTTCTACTCTGGAATATCAACTCAATATAGTCTCTGTGTGCTCGTTCAACCAAATCTGAACTTGCACCATAGCTGGTGTGACTGTAACTAACTGCATGGATCATATTAAATAGATTGGGCACAACAAGAGGAAAAACCAACACAACAATGATAAAATGGGGCTTACGAGTAAAATAAGAATGCAAAGTGTCTGTGAGTCTTAGGGAGTTACTTGCTTCCATATGCAAAGTCTTTCTAAATATATTAGATGCATATATTAATAAATGTTTTCCTTATATAAAAATTTGTTCCAAATTTTTTTATTGTGTGTTTTCATAAGGATCAATAATTAAATAAGTTATTTTTTATTATGTTAATTATGTAATGATTAATTAAAAGTTCCTTACCTTCGGAGGCTGTTGCTTACACATTAACTGTAATTTTTTACGATCCTTCTCAATTTAGTGGCTGATATATGAGTAAAGTCTTTTATATAGATTTATTATTTCATATATATATATTATGCATATTGAGCAATTACATAACAAATGAACATCTATTTTGAAACACGGGATTTCCTGTTGCTTGAACTTAACAATCTTATTCAGTTAATAATTTAAACGAGTTAAAGTAATATTTGAGCAAAAGACAGCCTTTGAGTGTTCCACTTGCTAGTTTCGCGCGATATTGTCCTGTATTTGTTATTGTTATTATGGCAATTAAAAATTAATTGAGTACAAAATTACTGCCACGACTGCGACTCAAATACTCACACACACACAAGAAACAAATAAATAAAAGAATGAAAACATACAAACAATGTTCAACTGTTACTTTTTCTTTTTAGTTTATTGTTTTCCTTTTGTTTCTATTTTTTGTTTTTTTTTTGTTTTTTGATTATGTTTTTGTTTTTGTTGCTATTGCTGTTATTATATTGTAACAGGCATGCCCTCCCATTACATTAATACAAACAAAAGTACACGTCTAATGGCTTGTATGTGCCTATCGTAGGAAGCACAAAACAGCATCCGTCGTTGTTACAAAATACACTCCGTTCCGTTGTGCAGCAGCATTGATAGCAATAATGAAAGCCGAGAGAAAAGACAACAAAGACAACAAAGACAACAAAGACAGATTAAAAGTACAATTTTTACGATCTTTACCTTACACCATAACGAAGGAACAACACATAAGAGTTTGTTATTGCGCTTTTGTTGTATTGCTGTTATTTATATAACATGGAACAATCATACACGTTTACTCGTACGATTTACCACAATGTCAAGTACTTCGGTTCAGTTTATTCAGTTTCAGGTAGTTTAGATTGACTTTTATTCTTTATTTTCTATTTTATAAAAGTTTTCTTAGCAATATTTATGTAAAAAGAATATACATTTTTTTATATTTTTTTTCATATTTCAGTTTCAGTAGTTCAGTTTTCTGCGAAATAGTTTTGAAAATTAAGCTTTAATTGTTTTTGATTTGTTTTTTTTTAGTTAATTCTTTAATAATTTTTAATTAATTTTATCATTTGATTGAGCTCATAAGAAAGTCATTTAGAAGTGTATGCAGTTATTGGTTTTTAGGTAATAACTTTTCTGCTTCTATTTAACCTTGTTAACCTTTGCAGCATAAGTAAGCAAATATTTACGAATGCAAGTTTCTTTGAATGCTTTGTCTAAAA